CAGCGGGGCCCAGAAAATACAAAGAAGAGTCCCATGACCTTGCTATTTATCCTTACTAGCAACTTCGACACTGACACACAGCAGAAAACAAAGTCGAAAATGGGAATCTGTGGCTAGGAAAGAGGAAATAGAACCACATCTCTTTCTCCAGTGTGAACTTCTAGCATGAAGCAAGTCCCAGCAGAGGAGGGAAGATTCACACCAAGCTAAGTTTGGAGGTTTGATGACTGCATGTGTATGACACAGTCTAACTGCTGAATTGAGCCTATCTATCTACTAAGAAAGGCCAAAATAGTTGTGGACACTGGAACAGGGGCAGATTACATCCACCAAAGGAAATTTCAACAGACAGCAGAAGATCACTTTGCATGGTCATTTTAATTCTTCTCTCTGTTATAATTATAAATAGACCATCACTTCTCCCTATTCTTCTTCTCTTTCTCTCTCTTTCCCTTTTTTTCTCTTTTCCTCTCTCTTTCCCATCAGCTTAGGGGCCTCTGTCCAGGACGAAATGTTAACAAGCCATTTCCTACCTCTACAATTTCCACAGGTTGTATGTCCCAGCTCACGGGGGTTCAGAGGGTTGTTGTCTAACAGGGGACATTGCAGGTTTTTACTTTCAAGTTGCATAGTAGTTTAACTCATCACAATGGCAGAAAGTTGAAAACTAATACAAACCATGATTATTCCTCATCATGGATTTTTATCTACAAGAAATCATTAACCTAAGCCATGAACTCAGTTGTCTATGTAGCCAGCCCCTCAAAGCATGTTTTTAACTTTCTTCTCATTTAATCTAAAAGTTATCCACCAATTTCTAAAGACTCCTAGGATGAGATTCCACCTCTCCTGAGCATATGCCATAATTTCTAGAGCAAGTCTCCTGACTCAAGCCATCTTAATCTTTTCTTTTTCTTTTTCTTTTTTTTTTTTTTTTTTTTTTGTTTTGTTTTTTTGAGATGGAGTTTTGCTCTTGTCATCCAGGCTGGAGTGTAATAGCACAATCTCTGTTCACTGCAGCCTCCACCTCCCAGTTCAAGCAATTCTCCTGCCTCAGCCTCCCAGGTAGCTGGGATTACAGGCACACACCATCACGCCCAGCTAATTTTTTTTTTTTTTTTTTTTTGGATTTTCAGTAGAGACAGGGTTTCACCATGTTGATCAGGCTGGTCTCAATCTCCTGACTTCAAGTGATCCACCTGCCTCGGCCTCCCAAAGTGCTGGGATTACAGGCATGAGCCACTGCACCCAGCCTTAATATTTTCTTAATGGACTCCAACATAGGGAGGTGACAACAGCAACACAGAGTGGCACATGGTTTACTGTTGCTTCATTTTTCTCACTAAGGAATAGAAATGTGTGTTCTGCATCCCTCACCCTATTTCTCAGCCAAATGAGTTAAAAGTTTAGATTAAAATGTCAAAGATCATTTATAAGTGAGAACCTACCCTGCCTATGTTTCAACTGGGGATGAAGCGGGATGTCAGGGGGAGGAAGCGCCACCTATCATCTGTACGGTAGAAAGCCGGGTTTGTAGACATCTGTGTTATTTTATCTGGTGTTTCTCCAGCGCAGCGCAGGTGGGCCACACTCAAGCCACAGTGTGAAGGTGACCCTAGAGCATCAGATTTGTAAACTTTGAGCGACAAATGTGATTTTTGGCAATAAAATAATTTAGAACGCTTATTGAGTAGAATGCAAAATATGCATAGGTGTTTAAGATAACATTGAAGGCTTTTTTTTTTTTTTAAACAGAGTCTCACTCTGTCACTGAAGCTGGGGTGCAATGGCCTGATCTCAGCTCACTGCAACCTCCACCTCCAGGGTTCAAGCAATTCTCCTGCCTCAGCCTACCAAGTGGCTGGGATTACAGGTGGGCGCCACTATGCTTGGCTAATTTTTTTGTATTTTTAGTAGAGATGGGGTTTCACCATGTTAGCCAGGCTGGTCTCAAACTCCTGTCCTCCAGTGATCTGCTTGCCTCGGCCTCCCAAAGTACTGGGATTACAGGCATGAGATACCGCACCCAGGCTGAAGACATTTTTAATTCTGCATTTTGGGTTCTGCCCTCATATCTTTCAGGGACCTTATCTCAGGACATCTTTGCAGAAGAGTTTGAGAATGAGTTAGCTACCATAAAATCAAAAGTTATCAATGATCAAGAGTTATCAATTCACCAAACCTTTATCAAAAATGACCTAATAATAGTTACTAGGTATCTACTCCTCTGTACACCTGAATCATTTGGTCTCCACATTAGTACCATAGAACCTGAATATGGTCACTCCTCAGTTTAGAGGTGAAGAAGCTAAAACTTTAAAAGGTTAAGTAATGTGTCCAAAAACTCATAAGTAAAGTAAAAGTTTCAACCTGTATCCAGCTGATTCCAAAGCTCATTCTCTTAATGGGAACATTCCACCTGCCTCTATCTGGTGGCATATTGGTTTGCTGCCCTCACATTGTCTGGTGAGGACTGCCTTACACAAGAAAACACCCAAGGATGCTGTGGCAGGTGTCTTGGTGCCTCACAGGCAATTGCAACTACAATCGCTCATCACAGATAAAGTGCCAAAGTCATTTCCCTTTAGTCATAAGCAGCAGGAAGCGTTGTGCATGCAGACAGCAATCTGTTGAGCTAGGAAAAGTGATGATTCATTCTGTTTTTAAAAATATTTTTAAATGACTTTAAATGAAAACAAATATTTTCCCATTCGTGGTAGCATCGGAAAACATAGTAAATTTCAAAGTACCTGTGACCAAAGTTTTAGGATGAACACTGCCTTGTTCTTAGAGGCTTTTCCGGCTTATATAAAGTGTGGCTGACTCTAATTGCATTTGCAAAATAAAGGATTCCTGTAAAATTACCCTGCAGCCCAAACAGAAACAACCAGAGAAGGCCCAACCAAGAGCTGTGAGAGGTTATTTATTTGCTACAATTTTATTCTGGAGATTTTTTCCATATGGTTCAATGTAATTTAGTTTTAAAAACTAAAAGCCTGTCTTATGTAAATGAGGGTGCCCAGCCAACATAAATTGTTTTAAAGGTTTTTATTAAGTATGTGTGTTATATATTTCTTCTTTTAAGCAATTACACTCTCTACTCTGGCCAGGAAAGCTCTCTTCCTAATGATATTAAAACAAGAAAAAGGACTCATTGGCATGAATATGATATTTAACTGTTCAAATTAAAAGCAGACCTCAAAGCAGCCTTTCAAAGCAAGTATTTGAAATAACTTTTCTGTGAACTAAAGCTGGTAATGACTTGGGGGAAGAAAAAGCACCTCTCTGTCCCATTTCCACTCATTTCCAACTACTCTGGGCTAAGGTAATCCCTGCTAATCATACATATTTAATTTTCATCGAACTTATCAGGCACCTTAATTTAAAAAAGAATCCCATAGTAAAGTACTTACTCAACACGATGAAAGTTCCCTTGCCTCATGCAATTTCTATTTTATGACAGCCTTCTCTTTATATAGCTCTTTTCATCTCTTTACTTTAAGGACTTGTTTTAGGCTCTAATTATTCTTGAGACTTCGGGTTAACACTACCATTAAATCTTGTATAGGTAGATGATAAATTGGTGGCTAACAAGTCGTACTGATCTTTTTCTCAGAATTCTTCTTGTTTGAACTCAACCATCATAAAGCAATATTAAGAAATATCCACATTCCGGAATCCTCTCACAAGCAAAACATACACACACACACACACACACACACACACACACACACACACACAATTATTCTGCCCAAAAAAAACCTAGGTATTTTGAGAGATCATGCATTGTCTCTAGAAAAGGATTTATGTTGGCCCTTTGGTGGGCAATTTGGGGAAAATTTCTAAATAATTTATGTCACAGTTCGCAAATTTCATGCTTAACGGCTTTAACCATTTCCAAAGGATCTTAGTCTCCCCCTTTATCCCCTCAATGAGAATTCATTCAATTAGTGTTCCCTTAAAATAAAGATAAAATGGAATGCAGAGAGGTTTTTTTCCTAAAAAGAAAAATCCTTCTCAACACAAAAATAATGACAATTGAGGTGATGCATATGTCAGCTAGATCTACTCATTCCACAGTGTATATACTTCAAAACATCACATCGTACCGAAAAAATACATTCAATTTTGTCTATTTTTCAAATAAAATTGGGGGAAAAATGATAAGCCTAGCCACTGATAGTCTGTGTTCCTTTCCTGCAAAGCACAAATGAGGATATGCTGTTTTCTGCCTTTCGGGTTTTATGAGCTGCTGTAGGTGTTCCACACCGCACAGTTGCAGCAGGCTGGCTGCCCTCTGTCCAACATGCAATGCTGCTTGGGATCATTCATGGTTTGAGCCTGAGAACAACCCACCTATATAATTTTCCCCTTTCATGTCATTCCACTGACCTCAATCAATTGATTTGGTGATAAAGTGAAACACGTTCATGGAGAAGCTGAGAAAAGTATTCAAAGTACACCTGGAAGGAGAGATTCCCCATCTTTTCCATAATGTGGCCATCCAGAATGAGGAGGGAACAATACTTGAACATCACAGAGACCAAACCATTTCCATATGTCAGATCCAGAGAGCCTGGGATCAAAGTTATACTTGGAAAAGAGCTGTAAGAAATGAAAAACTACCTAACAGCATCTGTAGTTCCCTTAAAATTCAACCTCCACTGGCTTCCTCTGAATCCATCAAGATCTTAAATATTTAAAGAAAGACTAAATTCAGCCCAAGCACGGTGGCTTATGCCTGTAATTCCAGCACTTTGGGAGGCCGAGGCAGGCAGATCACCTGAGGTCAAGAGTTCGAGACCAGCCTGGCCAACATGGTAAAACCCTGTTTCTACTAAAAATACAAAAATTAGCCAGGCATGGTGGCAGGTGCCTTTAACCCCAGCTACTCAGGAGGCTGAGGCAGGAGAATCACTTGAACCTGGGAGGCAGAGGTTGCGGTGAGCCAAGAAAGCGCCATTGCACTCCAGCCTTGGCAACAAGAGTGAGACTTCATCTCAAAAAAAAAAAAAAAGCTAAATTCAGAAGGTATTTAAGAAGTGGATGGTCCTTTCTGGGTCCTGATGAGTCCAGTGCCTCCGGGAACTGCCCAGTGAGTCAGCATTCTCTGTGGAATCCAGATGACCCTTCCCTCTAGGGATTGGACCAACACTTCATGTAGCTCTCTCCCAAAAGGACTCCAATGAAGGAATGTTTTGAACTCAAGTCTAAAGGATGCCCCTAAGCATAGTTTGAACGGGACCTCTACCCTGGTATAACTACCAGAGAACAACTGATCAGAGAAATTGGCCCTCCACAATTTAGAACACAGATTTGGTTTCAAAACCAGAGGATACAACACCTCAGGCAGAGTCTATTGGGGTCTGGATAGGGGTCAATTTCTTGGAATTGCTATCAGGGAAGAACAGGCTGCACAAACAGTCCTCTCAGAGCCCAGAGCCCAGATACGATTTCATAACCAAAGAGCTCGGCACTGTGGCCAGAGCTGTAGACTTGTGAATTCCCTTGCAGAAGGGCCCAAGTCAGAAATGCCACATGACTGCGTGACAAAGAAAAGCAACTTGTGCATGGCCCCTAGCACTGGGGTCACTTCCCTCCCTCCAGTTCTTTCAGGAACAACCAGTCATGTGTACCAGCTCTTCTTCCACCTCACACATGCTTTGGTTCTTGAGTTCCCCCCGGGGTCCGAGTGAGCCAGGCACCGAGGATCATGATGCTCCAGCCACTAGGCTGTGCTGGAAGGAGAGATCTCTCCACCTCCTCTGACACTTAGGAGTCACGTGTCAACAGGCCCAGCTCTAGGAGGGGCATTCTCACATCCTCCGACTCCTTTCCAGCCCCCACACCAAGGAAGATGCCAGGATGACAAGGACAGTGACACATGGCCTGGCAGTACTGCCCTGTAAAGACTCTACACAGCCTCAACCTGGTAATCCTAAGCGCCAGTTGCAGGGAACTGGTCAGCAAGACACATCTCACCTTATGCGATGGTGGCACGAGGGGCCCCAGGGAGTGATGGTTAAATGTCCAATGGCCAGCTGGAACAGGGGCACCTCAGCAGCCCATGCAGCCTGCACACAGCTGGACACTCCTGTGGCAGCAGCGGCCACCACCAGCTGCAGAGCCATCTCAGCCACTCGGGCAACCACACAGCTCTCTGCAAAACCCATCCTTTTAGCCAATGCCTGTCAATCACAGAGTTTCAGGGAAAGGCACAAACCTGCCTGAATCCAAGTCCACAGGAAAAGATCCCTCCACCACTTGAACCACCCTTCAGCGAGGAAGAATTTCATGCTCTGCCTGATATGATGCAGAACGTCACCAGGGTGTCAGCTTTGGGAGAAGCAAGGCATTCTTCTAATCACCAACATCCAGGCCTCTTTCCTGGATGCAGATTCAGTGTGATACCGAAAAGGACGAACAATCGATGTGCTGTGTTTGGCAGCAAGACCAATGCGAGAAGAAGCACCAACCACTTAGAAACCCAACGGGAGCATTTCGACTCAGTCTTGTGGGCAGCGCCTGACTTCTGCTCTCACTTAATGGCCTAAATGATTGTTTCAGAGCTCTCCACTGCTCCTGGAAGACGTCATGGACACCAGGCCATGAATGCCTTCACTGCATCCTGAAGAATCAAACCATTTTTATAGCAAACATCACCTCCTCCCTGCAATCCTCACCACTTGGGCAATCTGGAATACACAGGAACTGGAACCAAACCAAACCAGGGCAAGGAGACTAGGTCTAAGGGGGACACATCCACACTTCTGTCCTTCTGGCAAGTTCAGAAGTCACACCTGAAGGCAGGTGGATGTCTAGAAGATGGGGGGAATGTTGTATTTCCTTGTTCTGTGAGTTGATAACAAGGAGATTTTAATCTCAGCTCTGAAAGTTGAAAGGGGAACTTGAAGTCACTTCACTACCCTTCTCTTGGGAACTGATTCCACAAGTTTATATCCATAATCCCGAGTAGCCTTCATGATCAGCTTTCTCTCTGAACATTGAAATGTAGAGAAAATGACAGGGGAAGTTAGAATAGCAACTCCATTCGATCACTGAACAAAGCATACGAATGTTACTCTTCTCACGTTAGCATTTCCATTTATGTTAACTTGTACATCTACCCATAAAGCTGCCCTTTTTATTACAAATAAATATGTCAAGTTAAAATAAACAAATACAAATAAAAGTCCTCAAGTAAGATTATTTTTATTTTCATATTCCGAAATGACACTTCAGAACTTTAGCAAAAATTCCAGGCCAAGCAAAATAAAGACTGCACCTAATTTCCTCTTTCCCATATAGCTGAAGCTGTATTTTCTAGATATTTTAGTCCGTATCCATCAAAAAAAAAAAAAGTCTGGGACAAAAATTGGAGCCTTTCATGCTGATCCTTTGCATCTTAATTAATGGTTGCCCCTGACCTGGAACACCAAATATTGCACTTCTGGCATTATTTGAGGGTGGCTGTGATTCAATTAATTGAAATTTTTTGCTGTGGCTAAAGGAAATGTGAAATGAGGTATTTATAACCATGGATACCTGGTTTTTATTTATAGTCATATGAAAGAAATTCTACATTAGCAATAGAACCACAACATCTTCTAAAGACAGGATGTCAGAAATACTTGACAGAATACTTTTAAGGTGTATTACGTGTGTGTGTGTGTGTGTGTGTGTGTGTGTTTTATTCATCAGAAAAATGCTCATTTTACAAAAACATTTTACTGAGTTGTGGAAAAAATAAACAGCTGCATTAAGTCCATTAAACAATTGCTAATCAAATAATAAGCCTAGATGTTCCAAATGGAACAATATCTGAGTTTGACAGTAGCTTATAGAGCTAAATTATATTTTGGCTTAGTTTTCATATTCAGGGAAACTCATTTGATAATTAGTAGGTGTGCAAATATACTGGGACTTTAGGTTCTCATTTTATAAGGAAAAATACATTAGGAAACTCTATTTGTCCTTTCAGATGAAATAAATAAGAGCAAGTCAATGGCATGCTTAAGTACCAAACCTTGCCTGTTCAGAGGTATAAGGTTTTCTTTTCCAAAGAAAAATAATACATAGAAGAAAGAGCTTTTTGTTTTGTTTTGTGTTTTAGGAAGACTGCCTTTTATGATACTCTGACTTAACATTCTTTACTGATACCGACTCAAAGACAGTAAATTGTTACATGTGCTAGTCTCACATGGCTCTTTGTAGGCAATATTAAAAGCAGTACTAGCTAACACTTATTTCCTGGTTATGTAGCAATGTGATAAGTGTTTTTTATACTTTTATATCTTAGTCTTCTCAGACTGCTGTAACAGCAACAACAACAAAATTCCATAGACTAGGTGGCCTATAAACAACAGAAATTTATATCTCAACATTTTGGAGGCTAGGAAGTCCAAGATCAAGGCATCAGCAAATTCAGCGTGCAGGAAGACCTGGCTTCCTGATTCATGGGCATCTTCCTGCTTTGTCCTCACATGGCAGAAGGGGGCAAGGGATCGGATATGGTTTGGTTGTGTCCCCACCTAAATCTCATCTTGAATTGTAGTTCCCATAATCCTGCATGTCGAGGTAGTGACTCAGTAGGAGGTAATTTAGTCATGGGGGCGGTTACCCTCAGGCTGTTCTCATGATAACGTGTGAGCTCTCACAAGATCTGATGGTTTTATAAGGGGCTTTTCCCCCTTTTGTGGGCACTTCTCCTTCCTGCCATCATATGAAGCAGGACATGTTTGCTTCCTCTTCTACCATGATTGTAAGTTTCCTGGGCCTCCCCAGCCCTGCTGAATTGTGAGCTGATTAAACCTCTTTCCTTTATAAATTACCCAGTCTCGGGTATGTCTTTATTAACAGTATGAGAACAGAGTAATAGAGAATCTCTCTGGGATCTGTTTTTTAAGGGTACTAATCTCATTCATGAAGGCAATGCCTTCATGATCTAATCACCTTCCAAAGAACTCAGCTCCAAATACCATCACACTGGGGATTAGGTTTCCACATACAATTTTTGCAAGCATACATACATTCAGTCAATAGCTCTATATTATATTTAATTTTTATAACAAAACTGTGGAGGTGTAGAAGAAACCTAATTCAACTATCTCACCTGGAGTGAAATTTCAAATAGGACACCCAAAGAGGCCTGTTCCAAATTCAGTGTCATTTCCCAGACCTGTACAGGTTGTGCCAGAATTTGTGGATTTGAGAAATTTGGCAATCAGTTTCAGAAATATGGAAACAAAGTATAACAGGACTGATACAGAGGTTTTTTTCAGAAGTAGTTCTGAATGAAATTGTTAATATTGAATAACTTTTCAGAAAAAGATCATGGGATGTGTTGGTGAGATCTTTAAAAAATCCGCTTTCTTAAAAAAGAAAAGGTAAATACAGTAATCCATCCTGATCTGAGGTTTCTCTTTCCATGGCTTCAGTTATCCACAGTCAATCACAGTCCAAAAATATTACATGGGAAGTTCCAGAAATAAATAATTCATAAGTTTTAAGCTGCACACTGTTCTGGACAGTGTGGTGAAACCTTGCCCCTGCCCACACCATCCCGCTTGGATTGTGAATTTTCCTTGTTTCCAGCTTATCTATACTGTCTACACAACTCACCTGTTAGTCACTTAGCCCTCGTGGTTATCAAATAGACTGTCAAGGTATCACAGTGCTTGTGTTCAAGTCACCCTCATTTTATATTTTAATGCCCTAAACTGCAAAGTAGAGATACTGACCATTTGGAAATTCCAAAGATAAGTTGTAAAGTGGTTCCTTTAAGTGAAAAGGGGAATGTTCTCAACTTAATAAGGAAAGAAAAAAATTGTTTGCTGAGGTTGCTAAGATCTTCAGTAAGAACGAACCTTCTATTCATTCATGAAATCATGGAGAAGGAAAAAGAAATTTGTGCCAGTTTTGCTGTCTCACGTCAAACTGCAAAAGTTATGGCCACAGTGCATGACAAGTGCTTAGTTAAGATGAAAAAGGCATTAAGTTGTGGGTGGAAGACATGAACAGAAATGTCTTCCAGTTGACAGCAATTGAGTTTGATACTATCCTTGATTTCAGGCATCCATTGGGGGTCTTGGAATGTGCTCCCTGAGGATAAAGAGGATAACTGTACCAGTTATGCTGTGTAGGAAAACAATTTTCTTAATAATGATAGTGATAATTAGTGGGACGTGTGCATTTTATTTCTCCAAAAGATTTCAAACTTATTTTTGATATTTTTTCTTCTGTTTTTTTTTTCATAAAGCTACTGAGATAAAAGGATGTATCTTAGAAAGATTGATTTCATTTTGTTTTTTAGCAGATCATTCACTGCTTTCCAATATCAGTCTTTACTAACACAAGTAATCATCATTAATAGACGGAGAAAGTGAAGAATCTAAAAGAATAAAGAAAGTGGAAAAGTTGGTAGTCTATTAAAATTAGAACTAAAAACTCAGTATCATCAAAATATTTCTTTTTCTACACAAATGCTCTATTAAAAAGTATTTTTCTGTAGTTTTCAATAATCAAAAGCTCACATTACTGACCAATTAAAAACGCAACATCCCAACATTCTGATATTCTCCCATGGAATAACTGAATAGATGAAGGAAATTGAAAAGCACTTGATTTGATTACTTCGAAACATCAAGCAGCAATGAGCAATTATTTTGAGCAACAGCTCCCAGTGGGAATTGGCTTTGCCTTGGCCCTCACTGCATTCTTGTGCCCATTGTTTATAATTACACAAGCGCACTGTGACGGTGCTGTCGTTAAATTAGAAATGGGGCATCTTTGACAACTGCAGTAAAATGCAACAAAAGAGGAGTGTGATTTTTTTTTCTGCTTACCTTCTTCTTTCACTTATTTAAACATGCATTAATTAACTTGTTCTGGCAAGTGTTTAGCAAACATTGAACAATGGCATTTCTTTAGTGGTATAATTAAAATTCTCTTTTAAAATGTTTTGCCTGGTATTTTATGTACAATTTGACTCTAGCAAACAGAGGTTCCAATGAAAGGTTTTAAATGAAGGCAATCAAAATTGATAAAGCATCCAGCATCCCATTCGAACATACTGTCTTCCTGTCTAGAGCAAGTTTAATTTGATGGTCAGTTAACATGAACCTGAATTAGTGACGACGTCCACACCCTCACAAGCCCCCTTCCATCTTAGCAATAGTTAGTCTCAGGGAAGAAGACTTTTGGTGTTACAGTACCCCTTTAAGTTACTATACAAAATTTATTAAATTAATTATTCTAAGTTATTATACCAAGATATTTATGAGAAGCATCTGATTTAGGTTATGAACTCTCTGCAGATAAAGTTACATAAAACACATTGAACGAACAAAACTATCCAAACAGCAAGTGGAGCTTTGATTATTTCTTCCCATTATAACTTGGCATAAGGGTTACACCTCTGTAAATACTGCTATCCTTTTGGGGGAGAAGTGCCGTGGTAGTTTTTCAGTGCTAACAGGCAAGTGTCCGAAGCACATAAAAATCTGGATCACTATCCCTTGTTTGCTGTGTGTGTGTGTGTGTGTGTGTGTGTGTGTGTGTGTAGTGGGAAAGGTGAAGAGAGACAGAAAAGAATTCATTTTGCCTGTAATGCATTGACTGACCTGAAGTGAAAGATATTTTCAGGGAAACTTTAAATTCCCCATCTTTAAATTATTCATACTTGTTTTCCTTTTAGTGATGCTAAAACAACTCCAAAAAAAGCAAAGCTTTAAATACCAGAACCATCGGTAAATAATAAGTGATTTACTGGCTCTCAGGATTACTGAGGTCTCTAATGATCTTTTTTAATTAGCGAGGATTAAAACAGATTCCTCCCCATCACTTTCTTCAGACCTTGGGGTCTGCAACTGAGCTGAGCAAGGGTGAGAACAGAAAGGCATTCCCTCTGGCTCTGAACTTAGAATTGGAGCTTGACACCCAGAGGTAAGAACCACTTGCACTTTTGTAAGAGAAAGAGCAAAATAAAGTGCAACTCCCGCTCCATGGAGAGCTTGCCTGATTCTGGGGTTTTCTTAGCAAGCCCTCCCTTGTGGCTCTTACACTAAGCCATCTTTCCAACCTGCCTGGTTGTTTTTGTTTTTGTTTTTTAGTAATAAAGGTGATCTATTGGTCTTCATCCAACACTCCTGTATTCTTCATCTTTTGAGTTTGGAAGAA